CTCAGAGGTAGGGAGGTGGCGATGCACAGCAAGACGTGCAGCAGCATCGCGCGTGGCCCACTGGGAGCGAACAGTAGGGTCAGCATCAGCAGCAGGGGCATGAGAGGCGCCAGAGGTGAGGTCAAAGAGAGAAAGACCGTCTGCCCTATCGCACTGTAAGAACAGCTGCAGGTCGTCGACCCAGACCTCAAAGTCAATGGCGCGGCCCTCAGCGTCAAAATCTAGGACACTAGGGGTAGCCATGACAACAGTAGACTAGCAGTACTGACTGTAGAACACGGGCAGTGCAGTGACAGAAGTGCTGCTCTCACCAGACAGGGCGGTTCGGGCAGCTCAGTAGCACAGCAACACGGCAACACTGCTGCTCGGACGGCTCAGCAGCAATTGCAGCTCTGCAGTACCAGCGGCTCGGCTCCTCAGCGGCTCAGGCGGCTCGGGCGGCTTGGGCGGCTTGGGTGGCTCGGGCGGCTCGGGCGGCTCGGATCCTCAGCGGCACAGGTGGCTCGGGCGGCTCGGCTCCTCAGTGGCTCAGGCGGCTCGGGCAGCTCGGGCGGCTCAGGCGGCTCGGGTGGCTCAGGTGGCTCGGGCGGGTGGAGCGGTGAAGGGCGGTGGGGCCGCAAGGTAGGTGGCGGGGCCGCGGTGGTAGAGGCGGCGGGGCCGCAGAGAATGGCGGCAGGGCCGTAGGGAGAGAGGCGGCGGGGCCGCGACGAAGGGCGGCGGGGCCACGACGAAGGGCGGCTGGGCCGCGACGAAGAGCGGCAGGGGCCACGTCGAGAGAGGCGGCGAGGCCGCGGCGAAGGGTGGCGGGGTTGCGACGAAGGGTGGCGGGGCTGCGACGAAGGGTGGCGGGGCCGCGACGAAGGGCGGCAGGGGCCGCGACGAAGGGCGGCAGGGGCCGCGACGAAGGGCGGCAGGGGCCGCGACGAAGGGCGGCAGGGGTCGCGACGAAGAGCGGCAGGGCCGCAACGAAGGGCGGCAGGGGGCGCGACGAAGGGCGGCAGGGCCGCGACGAAGGGCGGCAGGGGCCGAGACGAAGGGCGGCAGGGCCGCGAAGAAGGGCGGCGGGGCCGCGTCGAGAGAGGCGGCGGGGCCGCTACGAAGGGTGGCGGGGCCGCGACGAGAGAGGTGGCGGGGCCGCTACGAAGGGTGGCGGGGCCGCGTCGAGAGAGGCGGCAGGGCCGCTACGAAGGGTGGCGGGGCCGCGACGAAGGGCGGCAGGGGCCGTGACAAAGGGCGGCAGGGCCGCGAGTGAGGCGGCGGGGCCTAATCGACGGGCGGCGGGGCCTCTAGGGCGGCTCGACAAAGCGAGAGAGGGCCCGGAGCGCGACTCAGGCCGAGCGCGCTTCGGGCAGGAAAAAAAAAATAGATGTGGTGGGCCCTAGGCAAAGTTCCCACGGGGGAACCTGCTCGATACCATGTGAAAAGTAGAACGAGAATAAATGATCTATGGAATGAAAGTGATACAAGTATGCAACCCTAGAAATGTGTACCCCCTATGGGCTACCCCACTATAGCCTACAGAATATTATAATTTGACATTTTTGCCCGCCATGCGCTCGGAATGCGTGGCGGTTTCCTGCCCACCGCGCACCCTGGGCGCCACGGCGGTTTCACGTTCCGTCGACCCGCGCGCCCATCCCCGTCGACCTGCGTGCGCCTCCCCGTCGCCCTTCACGGCGGCCCCGTCGTCCCGCGCGCGGCTCCTCGTCGCCCTTCGCGGCGGCCCCGTCGACCCGCGCGCGGCTCCTCGTCGCCCTTCGCAGCGGCCTTGTCGACCCGCGCGCCGCCCCTGGGGACCCGTGCACCCGTCCCCGTCGACCCGCGCGTCGCCCTGCGGCCCCCCTCCCTGCACACCTGAGTTCGATTACCGCACATCCGAGTTCGCTTCCCGCACGCTTGTGCACGCTTCACGCACACCTGAGCTCGCTTACCGCACACTCACGGTACGGGGGTGACGGGTATGGGGGTGATGGTTGTGGGGGTGTCAGTTGTGCGTGCCGTCCCCTTCTCCTCCTCCTCCTTCGTCTCCCACTGCTGCAGCTGTCGCTGAGGGGGGTGGATGAGTGGGAGACTGGGGTTTAGGGTTTAAGGGGGGTGCGTGGGAGTGGAGCTAGGGTTTGAGCAGTGGGCGTGTGCCGAGAGTGTGGGACAATTGGGGGAGGTTGAGTGGAGGCAGCAGTCTTGTCGTCAGCAGCAGCAGCAGTCCGGAGGCTACAATCTCCGGTAGTCGCCAGTCGCCCGTGGGTCCGTTGCTCGTCTGCCGATACTATTAGCCGCGGGGCCAGTTACTCCCGTAGTCCGGAGCGCTGTTCCGGTAGCCACTGAGCCAGCAGCTCGTCTGTTTGTCTGCGGCGTCAGCAGTCGCCTCCCATCTTCACTCCCCCACAGCTCCTCCTCCTCCTCTCTTGTCCGCTGTGATTAGCTCTAGCTTTGCTCATAATTGTGAACTTTTAAACTGTTGTTTCTTGTACTTGTGCTCAGAATGTGTGGTGATATTGTGATCCACCCTGAGCTTGTTCGGTGTCTGCTTGCTCTGCTGATTACAACCCACTTTGGCTATGGGGGTATGTCAGAATGTTCTTATCTAGCCTGTAGTGGGGTGCTCTATAGCGAGTACAACCCTCTTAGGGTTTGCTATATGTATCCCAACTGCTGCTAGTCAAACCCTCTTCTCTCTTCTCTCTTCTAACTTTTACATCGTGTACGTCATCATCGATTGATAGGTGTACTGCTGCTTCTCATACTGTGTGCCGTTTGTTGGGTATGGCAGGGACCTATCGAAGAAGCCAAGGATTTGCGCTCCTTCCATCATCAGCTCGAATTCGAACGACCAGGTAAAGAAATCCTTCCCGTCGGAGGGTTTTGTCGTTTGCAGTTTTAGAACGTGCGCGAACTGCGACTGAACTTGTAGTGTGTCCAGCGTTCTCTCTTGTCCCGGTGCAGGTTGTGGTTGTGGCATGAAGCTGACGGAGCCGCGCTGGGGCTCGTACGGAGCGAAGGTAGGTTGCTGTTGTTGATTCCTGCGTGCGTAGGATGAGCCATCGAGACTCATGGGCGTCACGTTGTTGTTGTTGTTGTTGTTGCTGTTGTTTGATTGCGCAGGTGCTCCTTGCTGATGCTGCTCGTAGAAGGACATGAAGGAGAAGAACTTCTCCATCATGCTTGGATCGAAGCCCGCGCCTTGGTTTGCGGGTGTTTCAGTAGACCCAGTTGCCGGTCTCGTTGTTGTGCCTTCCTCTGTCTGTAGGCCAGAGGCAGAAGGTGGAGTAGGAGTAGTACCAGGAGAGCCGTTGGAGGAGCTCCTCTCCTTTCTGGTAGACATGTCTCTTGGTGTATTAGGTGTTAAGGAGAAATAATTTTAACCATAACCAGCTCTGATACCATGTTGGGCTGAGTGCCCCTTAGGATCTTTGGTAGGGTTAAACTCTGGGTAGAGTGATATGGTAGCGGAAGCGTTTAAATGAAGTCCTTGAACCACCTTGCGCTGGTATGTGAGGGCAAAGTAAGTTGATTAAAACAAGCAAGTACAGAGGTTTATATATGAGTACAAAGAATACGAAGAGATATAATTAAACTGTTTTACTGCTGCGGTTCGATACAGTGCGACTCGGGCAACTGCTCAATGTCGAGTCAGTTGTGTGTCCTTGCTGTCGCGCTGCATTTGTCAAGTCAAAGGTCGCTGACCTTTGACTTTCGCGTAACCTCCAGCGGTTACTTCAACCTCCAAGGGTTGACTCGCTGGTGCCTCGATATGCTCTGCTTCGCTTGTGCCTTGGTGTTTCGACACGACAGAGGCGCTTAAGATTGTTTGTTCCCAACACAAACCACCCCCTGAACTGGTACACCATGTAGGGCACATCAAAAGAAGAGGGCAAGTGAGGAAGAGGAGTGCAGCTACTGCGCTAGCCCGAACCTCGATGCCAGCCTGGCACTAGCTAGCTCGCACGCACCGCGTAACCGTTGCATGTTTTCGCACATAAGTACTCGCTCTTGCCTTCGCTCATACTTGGTACTTTTGACCCACATAGTGCAATCCTCGCTACCTAGCTCCATTGCACCTGTAACATTACCGAAGAACACACCTAAAATTACTCGGTTCTTTTCCATCCCCGCTTGAGAACTGCCTTGGTACACTTGTGCAATCTGTTACACTGCCTTGTCGTGTGAGGACGTAAAACGACCCCAGCACCGAGACCTGACCCCCGAGAGAATGCGCCCGAGATAATGCGCCCACACTCGTCAACTTCAAGGGGCGGGGGAGTGTTGCAGAGAGGAATTAGTCGATGCTTATCAGTCGATGCTTCACTGCCAAAGCAGACGGACAGGTGCCATTCATCCGCCTTCTTTGTAAATACGTCATGTCGCATCAATTCGACGCTGCAGTGGAAGGCTCGAGACTCACAACGCATCACTCACGTCCACGCCATTTCCAAACCTTATTTTTCGCCGCCCTGTGCGCCTGCTCGCTTTCCCTCCCCCCACATACACTGTTATTCGCCTCCGCCGCATCCGCCACCGCAACTAACAGCAGCAGCAGCGGCAGCGCGAATCGCGGGGCGGAAGCCGCAGCGCGGCTTAAAAGCCTGTACATGCTGCCGGCCGTGGATGCAACGGGTCAGCTCCGGGCTCTAAGCGAGCTGCGAGGCACGGTACGTGCGGCACGAGTGGTTTCGGTTCCACGGGTACTTTCATTGCCGTGGCGGGACATGTGTCGTCAAGTGATGTGATGCGAGCACGTTGCTCTGAGTCTCTGTCCGTTGTTCACCTGCCATGCCAATCATCCACCCACCCACCCGCCCGCCCACCCGCCCGCCCGCCCGCCCGCCCGCCTGCCTGGCTGGTTGCCTGACTGCCTTTCTGTCTACCTGCTTCTCTGCCTGTCTCTCTGCATGTCCGCTGACCTGCCCTTGGCACATGGGGGTGCATGGGGTGTATGGGGTGCATGGGGTGTGAATGCATGAATGCGTGAGCGAATGCATGTGTGGCATGCAATGGAGCAGGTGTCGCTGGTGGTGAACGTGGCCAGTGACTGTGGCCTCACCAAGAGGGTACTAACCAACCACTGCCACGTGTCAACACTGTGCGCATGGATGGATGCACTACTCCCCCCACTGCTGCTCCCACTGCTGCCATCAGCCAACCCACGTGCCATCCATGCCAATCTATACCATTCTATGCTGCTCTGTACCCACTTATGCTATTACCTACCATTCTTTCCCCCATTCGTCTAATCCACTCCATGTCCCATGCAATCCGTCACGCACCTATCCATAAACTCCCTACCATCCATGCATCAACCCCCACATATCCACTTCTCTCTCTTCTCATCCCCTCTCCTCTTGAACTTATCGCCCTTTCTCTCACACATCCTTCTCTGCCTCTCCATGTCCCCACTCTGCGCGCCCCTCTGCGCCATCCATCCACCTGGGAGCGCCAGAACTACGAGGAGCTAGCATTGCTGCACAACCGCTTCGCTGCTCGTGGCTTCCAAGTGCTCGCCTTCCCCTGCAACCAGTTCGGCAACCAAGAACCCAGTCAGTTCCGAGTGACACGCCGCACTTGCGACAGGCACTTAGGGGACACGCAGGGGGTGCAGATGGGTCACAAATGGGTGGACATGGGTGCAAATGGTATGCACGTAAGGAATGCACAAGTGGAGCAGAGATGAGCGGTGAGCAGAGGTTGGAAATGGGGCATTATGGGGTAGAAAGTTTAGACGCAAGGGCGATAGGAGGGGCATGTGTATGTGTGAACACGTTCACATTCTTCCCTGGGTATGTAGCTTCTGCAAACTAACTAACCCTTTATCTTCTCCCTCGCCTCCCTGTGTCTCCAATCTTTCTCCCTAACCTATCGCACCTACTGTAAGCCTTCTCACTCCCTTTTTCAACCCCTTATCTTCCTTCACGCCATGCTCCGCACATCCCTTCCACAGGGTCCAACAGTGACATCCTGTCCTTCGCCCGCACGAACCACTCTGCACCATTCCGCATCTTCGCCAAGACGCTGGTGAACGCGCCGCTGGAGTGCTCGGGCACGGAGGCTGCATGTTCTGCCAGCACGACGAGCTGCTGCCCGTCCAACAGCCTTGTCTTTGACCTGCTCAAGCAGCACTTCCCAGGAGACATCGAGTGGAACTTTGCCAAGGTCTGTGCCTGTGCATCATTGGCCTCCCGTCTTGCACATGACTTTTGAGTCGACTCTAAAGCCGAGCTGCTGCCCGTCCAACAACCTTGTCTTTGACCTGCTCAAGCAGCACTTCCCAGGCGACATCGAGTGGAACTTTGCCAAGGTCTTGGCTTGCCTGTTTCTTGTCCCCTCTTTCCGCTTGTGCCGCTTGCTGCTGCTTACCTCTCGCTGCTAGCTGCATCTTGCTTCGTGCTGCTGTTGTTAGTGCCTCGAATTATGGTCGTTGCCTTTTTTATCCCTCTTCACATTATAAACTCTGGTTTCCTGAAACCAACCCTCTCCTGTTGCCCGTTTCCACCCCATTTCACTCATCTCCATCATCCTCTATGCGTGTGCCACAATCTGGCCTCTCCACCGCCTCTCTCTCCTGCCAGTTTCTGGTGGGCAAGGACGGCATCACCATCCGCCGCTATGCGCCCACGGTGAATCCGCTAGACATTGCGCCGCACATTGAAGCAGCCCTCGCTGCTCCCACTCCCCGCTCACACGCCCACAGCTGGTGGGGCTTTGGTGATGGCAAGGACGAGGGGCATGCAGATATGCTGTGACCTGTGACCCACCTCGTTCAGAGCATTGAATTCAGTTGAACTCGGTTATACAGTGTTCGGCGAGGTGTTAAGTTCCGTGAATCTCCACAGTTTTCTTAGTGTTATGCAGCCGCCTTAAGCAGGCCAAGAACCCCTGAATTGGTTCGAACTTCCTAACTTTGGTCGAGTGTGTCTCTGGCACTCAAGATCTTCACTAATCGCATCTCTCTTTCACTAACGAGAGTGCCCTAGGCGAAATGGGGCTAGTTGGAGGAACTAAGGGTTGTGGTGGGTTTTGGTTGTGGCAGTTAGACTCGGTGCAGTGAGCGCGGTCATCGCCGTTTTGGTACACGGTCTCAGGCTACGTCCGCCAAAGTCCCGCGAGTAACTCCTATGTAAACACATCCCGAACAGAATGACATGCTTGCCGAATTTGATGTGGTGCAGAGCCAAGCGGAGCTAAGCATGCCATGCCATGCCTTGCCAACTCATGCCCTACGGCATACATACTACTACCAGGCCTTGCCATGCTAGGCAATCCCCATACCATACCACACGACACACACTCCACACCATATCATACACACTACACCATACCTTTCCATACCTTACCATACCAAACCATTGTTGAAAGGCTAGGCAGAAATCAGAATCAAGAAAGAGTGCTTTTCACTAGCATGCAGTTGAGTACATATAGCAAACCCTAATCCGGGCTGTACTCGCTACAGAGTACCCCACTGCAGGCTACACAAACATCACATTCTGACACACCCCCATAGTCAAAGTGGGGTACAATCAACACAACAAGCAGGCAGTGCAATAGTTCACAAGCATAAGCAAAGCTAGAAGCTATCACAGAGGGCAAGTGAGGAGGAGGAGAAAATGTGGAGGGCGAGAAGATGAGAGGCGATGGCTGAAGCTACCAGGAGGGCACACGGGCAAGAGGAGGGCGCAGCACTGACGCTACCAGGCTAAACCCGGGCTACACGGCGACAGGCGCGGCTGGCTCACTGTGCTCTCAGGAGTGCTCACACTGTGGCTACCGGGTGCAGAGCCCCGGACTACTCAGGCCACAGGGGGTCGTGGCTCTTTGGACTTCAGGCGACGCGGACGACAAGACGACTGCCTCCACTCAACTTCCCCCAGCTGTTCCACACCCCTGTCACACACCCCCTGCTGTGCCCCTAGCACTCCTCACACGCCACCCCCCTCGTACCACTCCAACGGCTCCCACACATCCACCCCCCTTAGCGGCAGCTGCAGCAGCGGGAGACGGAGGAGGAGGAGCAGGGAAGGCCGCACACACCTGTCACCCCCTTACTCTCCACCCCGAAACCCTAACACAGGAGCGCGGGCAGCAGCGGGGGTGGGGCGCGGCCAGAAGCTCGGGAGACGAACCGCGCGCGGGCTGCCCGGGCCGCGCGCGGGCCTGGCGCAGCCCATACAGGCCGCGCGCGGGCCTGGCGCAGGCCGTACGGGCCGCGCGCGGGCCTGGCGCATCCCGTACGGGCCGCGCGCGGGCCTGGCGCAGGTCGCGCGGGCCGCGTTGGGCGACGGGGGGCGACGCGCGGGTCCCCGAGGGCTCCGCAACGGGCGACGGGTGGCGACGCGCGGTTCGACGGGGCAGGAAACCGCCGCGCGCCCCGAACGCGCGGCGGGATGAAAAATCGCCGCGCGCCCGTAGCGCGCGGCACGCAGGGGACAGCAGGAAACCGCAGCGGAAGCATTGGGCGGGACCACCCACAGGATCGGCCCAGGAGGGTCGACCTGCTTTGATACCATGTTGAAAGGCTAGGCAGAAATCAGAATCAAGAAAGAGTGCTTTTCACTAGCATGCAGTTGAGTACATATAGCAAACCCTAATCCGGGCTGTACTCGCTACAGAGTACCCCACTGCAGGCTACACAAACATCACATTCTGACAACCATCTCACACCACACCACACCACACACACCACACCACACACACCACACCACACACACCACACCACACACACCACACCACACCACACCTCACCACACCACACCATACCACACAAGAACTTACCGTAAAAGAACATACCATACCATACCATACCATACCATACCATACCATACCATACCATACCATACCATACCATACCATACCATACCATACCATACCAAACCATACCATACCATACCATCCCATACCATACCATGCCATGCTATGCCATACCATACCATGCCATGCCATACCATAGTATACGATACCATTTAATATGCCATTCGAGAATATAGCAAAGCATAGCATACTATACCATACCATTCCATGCCATACCATATCGTACCATACCATACCATACCATACCATACCATACCATACCTTACCATTGTCAACATATATTTTTTATATGTTGTTTAGGTTAGTCTAGGTGTTACATTTCTAATTCCTTGCATGATTAGGGTTTGCTATATCTAGGGTTATACTTCACATTTTCTATCAATTCATTACATTGTAACATGGTATTGAGCTTGGTTCACCCAAGCGAGATTTTTCCCCTAAGGAAATTCTCTCGACTAAGTTATGGGCCCACCTAGACGCGCCCCGTACTAGATAGTCGCCCGTAGCGCGCTTAGCCTGCCCGTCGCCCGGTTCTCCCCCCCCCCGCCGTCGCCCGTTTCCCCCAGTCGCGCGTTGCCCGTTTTCTCCCCGTCATCCGTCGCCCGTCGATTTACGGGCGTGCCTCGCGGCCGATCGTTAGAAGGCCCCGCGGCCATTTCGATAGCGGGCCCCGTAGCCATTTCGATAGCGGGCCCCGCGGCCCCGTCGTTAGTCACACGCACGCACGGCAGCAGCCGCGCGCACGTGCAAATCGTCGCCCCACCCGTTACCCGCCGCCTTAAACGCTGCCCCACCCTTTTACCACTGCCTTACCCGCCGCCCCATCTGTTAGCCGCCGCCCCACCCGTTACCCGTCGCCCCACGAGCTGAAACCGCCACCTCACCTGCAATCTGCCACCCCACGAGTTGAAACCGCCACAACACCTGAAATCCGCCGCCCCACGAGTTGAAACCCGCCGCCCCACCTGACACCCGCTGCCCCACGAGCTGTCTCACCCGCCGCCCCACCAGTTAGCCTCAGCCCCACCAACTAGCAACACCTGGAAACCAGAGTCTACCACCCCTACCCGCAGAACCGCACAGAACCGCACAGAATCGCACTCCACCCGTGCTAGCTCCCCTGGAACTGCACAGAACCGCGCTTCACCCGTGCTAGCTTCCCTAGAACCGCACACAACCGCACAGAACTGCACAGAACCGCATGTTAAAGTTCCAGAGGGAGAATGTAGTAGGCTTAGGAGCCATAGTAGCTTAGGTGACTTGGTGAAGTTCGAGGGTGTAGGGTGTAAGGAAAATGTCGAGAGATTTTTGGAAGGAGAATTGTGTTCACTAGAAAGGAGGGGGATACAAGTAGTAAGCCCTAAAAGGGTTATACTCACTTTTGAGTACCCCACTACAGACTAGACATGCATTATAATCTGACACACCCCCATAGTCAAAGTGGGGTATAATCAGTACAGCATGCAGGGATAGAGCTAGAGTTCACAATAGGTAAGTAAGGCTAGAGCTAATCATAGAGGGCAAATGAGGAGGAGGAGAGACTGTGGGGGAGAGAAGATGGGAGGCGACTGCTGACGCTGCAGACACACAGACGAGCTGCTGGCTCAGTGGCTACCGAAGCAAAGGCCCGGACTAAAGGAGTAACTGGCTCCGCGACTAAAAGTAGCGGCAGACGAGCAACTGACCCACAGGCGACTGGCGACTACCGGAGATTGTAGCCTCCGGACTGCTGGTGCTGCTGACGACAAGACTGCTGCCTCCACTTAACCTCCCCCAGGTGCCCAACGCCCCTCTCACACACCCCTTGCTCAAACCCTAGCCCTACACCCACAGCACCCCCTTAAACCCTAAACCCCAGACTCCCACACATCCACCCCCCTCAGCGATAGCTGCAGCAGTGGGAGACGAAGGAGGAGGAGGAGGAGGGGACGGCACGCACAACCGACACCCCCTCAACCATCACCCCCACACCCACCCCCCCACGGCTGCACCGGGTCCAGGAGCGGCTGCTGCCGGGGCCAGGGGCGGCTGCTCCAGGGGCTGCTGCTGCTGGGGCGGCTGCTCCAGGGGCTGCTGCTGCTGGGGCGGCTGCTCCAGGGGCTGCTGCTGGGGCGGCTGCTGCTGCTGGGGCTGCTCCTGCTGGGGCGGCTGCTCCAGGGGCTGCTACTGCTGGGGCGGCTGCTTCAGGGGCTCCTGCTGCTGGGGCGGCTGCTCCAGGGGCTGCTGCTGCTGGGGCGGCTGCTCCAGGGGCTGCTGCTGCTGGGGCTGCTCCTGCTGGGGCGGCTGCTGCTGGGGCGGCTGCTGCTGGGGCGGCTGCTCCAGGGGCTGCTGCTACTGGGGCGGCTGCTCCAGGGGCTGTTGCTGCTGGGGCGGCTGCTCCAGGTGCTGCTGCTGCTGGGGCGGCTGCTCCAGGGGCTGCTGCTGCTGGGGCTGCTGCTGCTGGGGCTGCTGCTGCTGGGGCGGCTGCTGCTGGGGCGGCTGCTCCAGGGGCTGCTGCTGCTGGGGCGGCTGCTCCAGGGGCTGCTGCTGCTGGGGCGGCTGCTCCAGAGGGTGCTGCTGCTGGGGCGGCTGCTCCAGGGGCTGCTGCTGCTGGGGCCGCTGCTCCAGGTGCTGCTGCTGCTGGGGCGGCTGCTCCAGGGGCTGCAGCTGCAGCGAAAATTAGGAGGGAGGGGAGGGGAAGGGCGCGGCCCCCACGGTGCCCTGACGGGCGACGTGCTAGGGAGCCGCGCAGGCCCCCGAAAGTGCCCCGACGGGCGACGGGAGGGGACCGCGCGCAGGCCCCTAAGGCGCCGTGACGAGGCAACGGGAGGGGCCGGCTCGCGGGCCCCGAAAGTGCCGCGACGAGGTGACGGGAGGGGCCTGCGTGCGGGCCCCCAAACCGCCGCGACGAGGCGACGGTCGGGGCCAGTGCGCGGGCCCCCAAGACGCCGCGACGAAG